CTTGAGCAGGAGCATCGAGACCTAGCACGGGCCCATGGGCAAACATCCTCGCTGGGCTCTGTTCTCTCTCTTTTAACATTTTTAAGAATTTATTAAAAAGAAGATCCCAAATTAGGACAGAAACAAGCTTATAAATAAGGCAAAATCATAGCAGCAGCTGTTTTTAGCTCACAGTATAAGCATAAAAACTTTAATAAAGTAACAACAAATATCTATTAAATATGTAAATTAACAAATATTTATTAATTATTACTCAATTTATCATTTCAGTCATTCTTAACATATGAAGCATCTATTTGCAAAGAACAGCCAAAAACTATGCTTTTTTATGATTAAAAGAAGATATAGCCTAAAGGTGCTTTGCGGGCATTATAGCATAACTAGATTTCATTTGCCCAGGCTCCTGGATAGTTGCGTTCTTTGCCCCCCTCCTGTTGGAGAGCCTAAATTTGAGTAGATTTGTGTGAAATTCAACAAATAAATGTAATGACCATAAACAATTAGGAAATAAATATAAATTATGCTTTTTTCGTTCTAGAATGACTACAAATTATAACACAAAAACACAAATGTAAATAGCTTACATCTCATAACATTATACATTTATATGTATTTATTATATTGACCTTCCAGTCATGCCTAGCTAAAAATACAGAAGTTGCAATGACATGGAGCATGTGCACTCGTGTTGCCAAATCCAAGAATATAAATCTGGCCATTACAAAGTGACCTGTCTTTTCTATGTTTTAGTGGACTAGTATTTTGTAACATACAGTCACATTTCAGTTATAATACATTATATATATATGTATATACATTATTACTATTTAGAAATAAATAAAGAAGTATAGCAAACTATTATCTCTTCTAGTTACAAAATTTGTACTATTTGCTGCTTGCCATAGACTGCTAAGCCTTATCAAATTTTGCACATGGAGGATGTGAAACGAAATAATTTTTTTTAGGTTTTATGTATACATTTGAAATAACAAAAAATCATAAATTACTACATTAATACCATAGATTTACACTATAACTTATTAAGCTTAGTAACTAAGCTGTATTTGGTTCTAAAAAAATATAAAATTTCCAGTTCATTAAATTGTCAACTTACCCTCTTCAAATCCAGATTGAAAAGATAGAGTTTTCCCACACAAATAATTTGCTCAGGCTCATAGAACCATGTGGGGGACATTCTGAGCTTTTGATTACTTATTCACATGTCATAGACAGAAGTAGGTTTATATAACCAAGTGTCTTGAAAAATTGAAAGAAGTGGGTGGGGCCACTATGTTTGAATAAGTACATGAAGCAATATCTCAGCAAATAGAAAAGATAAGAGGTTCTTATATTTTATTCTAGTTTGTCAATATTGGTAATTTGAGTTCCTAATTCATACGAAACTATAAACTTTGCATTTGGACATTGCAAACATCTAATTTGAACCAAAGCTGCATTTAACAAAGCACATAACATACAAAATTTGATATTTAGGTGTGTTCTTTTAATATTTACTTTTCAATTAGGAAATTAACTGATGTATAATACTAAATTTGAATTATAATGTACAATTTGATACTAAACTTATTGACATAAATTCATAAAATAGTAGTTCAATAAAATTTTTAACACAAGTCAACAAACACGATGACATGGCCTTTGACCCGTGGCGACAGAGCATAAAGTGGAACTGAATCCAGCTTACAGGTCATAGAAATTTGATTTAATCATATTCAAGCCCTTGAAAAAGAACTTTAAGAAGTTAACTGTTAAAATCAAATGGAAAATAGACCATACAAGTTTAAGTATTATAGTATTGAGAGCTGTTGTTAATTTAGTTAAAAATTTAGATCTGTTTGCCTGAATTAGATAAATGTCAGATGAAATGCCAATAAAAACTATTATAGAGCAATTATTTTTAAAGTGTGCTCTAATATTAAAAAGTAAAACATTTTTGAGGACTACAGATGTGAATATATGTATCAAACTACTGAGGTTTTCACACAATTCATATGTCCATAAAGCTTTCACGAGACTTCCAACAGAAAACCTAAACCCTACCCTCAATGCTCTTATCTCCTGTTGTTAGGAACTAAGGACTTGTTTTTTTTTGTTTGTTTGTTTTTGAGGGAGACTGACACACAAAAGCTTAAAATAAAGAGTTGAGAAAAACCTTTACGTTGTTTTAACCACATCAGAATAACATGTTTTGCAAAGAAACATTAAAGTTGTTTAAATTAATCTTAGCTATGTCATTATAAAAATGGTCTCATGTACATTTTCTATATTTTTCTAATAAAAATAGAAGTATTAACATTAATGTTTAAGTACAAAACTTTGGTGTCTGAAAGTTTTGAACATGTGTAATTAAATTTAGTCATAAAAAGCTTCACTAAAGGAAGGAACTTGTATATTGAGTAAATTTCTTGCTTTACAGTTGTGTTACAGTTCTGTTTTCACTGCTTATTCCAGTTTTCCAATTTGTAACACATTTACTTAAATATGAAATACACATTATGAAACATTTACAAATGTGTTTAGCAATATCCACTTAAAGGTGTTTGCAGATATTTTTTTATATTAAATTAACTTACATTAAAGAACTAAATTTTTCAGTTAACACACAGAACAGTTTTAAATGAAATTATGCATATAATGAAAACATTTATTGTAATTATGTGCAGTTGCTAGTAGAGTGACCCTGGAATGTGGTCTGTGTTGATTGTATACACGTGCAGTAAGCTAGGGTGAAGTTGGAAGGCTTGGTTCTGGAAATTTCCCCTTAACATCAGGAAGAAATCATCTTTGGCTAAGACAGCTTTATATTTCTATCATGGTGGTTGGCCTTTGGATGTGGTGGATGCAGTTAATTTAAGGGAAAGCTTGATAAATATTTGAATGATGAGGGCTGGCTTTGAGGTTTTTATTTTTCAGGGTTTAGTTTAATTAATGAGTAGGGCAGCCTAGATAGACCAAAAGGTCCCTTGTTGTCCTTTAATGCTATATTATATTATCTCTTCACATACAAATTTATGCTAGCTAAGTGGCATGAAATAATGTACATGATTGTAATTTTAAGTGATTTTTTAAAACTGTTTTGAAAACTATATGGAATTTAAACATTTTGGCAATATATTTTATCTTCAGAATTAAATATAATATTTCATATGGCAATATAGAAAAAATAGTAACAGGATGAAGTGTGTTGTTGAGTATAAAATTCTGGTTATTTCCTTCTCATCTTTTAAGTATTACTGTTGTTCTATAACAATGTAATGTGCATATATAACTATTAGAACTGTACGTAATTTTTATCAGGCTGCAATATGGCTTCGCTATGCAGAATGTTTGAATTCTTTAGGAAGAATAGAGCCAGCAGTTGAAGCTTATAAAAAAGTGGTACAGTTAGCACCTTCCCACCTTGATGCACGAATGTCTCTCTCTGGCTTGTTACAACAGATGGGTAAAACAAGGGAAGCTATTCATACTTTGAAACAAGGTAAATTTTTAAAATTTTGTTTGTATTATTTCATTAATAAACTATCCTTTTGTGAAGATGTAAAAACAACAAAAATAAAGCTGTATGATAATTGTGTTTATTGGCTGAACTATTTTAAACTTATGTTATTTTCCATGTCTCACTTTCAGATTTTGGAGTTGTTTTTAATTCAACCAGAAGATGATGAGTTTTAGTCCTTATAATATTTATTTTTAACATACACATCCAGTACTATGAATAACTGGCTGAATTAAAAAAAAAAGAAAATAGAAATGAAAGAAAAAAATGCTTATAACTGTTCATAACATGAAATTATTGCACTGTTATGAAGTAGAATTAATGTGAATTTAATTTCTTCCTATGTATATTTTGTAACAATGAATATGCAACTAAAATCAGTAGTTATGCTTCGTTGAAATCAGAACATATACATGATAGGAGAAGGCTTCTCAGTGGTACAGCTGTATGTCTATGGACTTATAGCACTAGAAACAGAGCACAGATAGCCCATTGCATAGTTTTGTGCTTAACTACAAACAAACTAACATGTTAGAAGGATTTCATAAACATCATTTGATTGAGATGATGTACTTAATACATGAAATGCAAACATTGAGCAAGATTTTTTCACAATTTAAATTTAATTTAACATATTTTATAAGTTTACTTTGTGTACAATTTGTTTTGAAATTGAAATTATGTTCTCAGAATTTGCAGTAAACTTTTTTGGCACTTGAATAGGCAGCACTTTACACTAATAAAGCAAAAAATTGCCAAACAACAAGTTGAAAGTAAAATGCTCATATTTCATTGTTTGCCAATTTATTTTTAACTTTTTGGGAAACTAACAAATGTATGAGCCTTACTGGTAAAAGGGAAATAAAAGGCAAGTGTTTTAAGAACAACTAAATTTGATATTTGTGCTGACCTAAATTACAATCTTATTAATAAATTTTGTTTCTCCTTCCATCTCTTAACATCACAACTCGCTAGCACTTTTCAAGCATTGAGTACACATATGTAAATCAAATTTAAGTAAAAATAATAATTCTAACTCAGTTTCAACAATTTATGCCCAAAAATGTTTTACAAATGATATTTTATCATTTTGTAACATTTATTTAGTGTATTTTGCAAACAAAAATGAAAGTATAAAAGTTTCACTTTTAACCTGTTTATATTTAGTAAGAAACTATCTCCCATTCAAACATAATTATCCATGTCTTGTTTCTCATGTGATTTTCTTTCTATTTTTGAGAATTTAATATTAGTTAGATTTATAATAACATAACATAATGTTTTGTGACAACATGGGACCTATTGTTCTATCTCGGCTGTTCCAGCCTCAAAACTAAATTAAAATGATTAAAATATAATAATAATAATAATAAAATTTTAAATTCAACCCTTTTCATTCATATACTTATCAAGCTTTTTCTTAAACTCACTTAAATTTACTGCCTCTACAACATCTGAAGGCAACTCATTCCAAAGGCCAACCACCCTGTTAGAAAAATAAAACTGTCTTAGCTGAAGATGACCCCTACCTTGCCAAAATTTATATTTGTGTCCCTTAGTCCTACTATTCTCATTGTTGAATATAAAAAAAAGATGATACATCAACACTATCAATTCCATTTACAATCTTAAACACCTCAATCAGATCCCCTTAACTCTTCATTTTTCAAGAGAAAACAATTTGAGAGATTTCAGCCTCTTCTCATATGAGACAACCCCTCCATCCCAGGCACCATTCTAGTTACCCTTCTCTGAACCCTTTCCAACAATTCAATGTTTTTCCTAAGGTAAGGA